GTGGTCGTCTTCGTCGTGGTCGTGGTGATCGTCGTCGTCGTCGTCGTCGTCGTCGTCGTCGTCGTCGTCGTCGTCCTTCAGGGTCGGCGACACTGGCCGCAGGGTCGGCGGCGACACCGGCCGTAAGGCCCTCGCACTATCCTCTGAGTCGTGCGCTGGCCAGTGGGGCGCTGCGCGCCCCTGCGTATTTCTTACTTGCTCGGTCGCATTGCTCCTTCTTCCTACTCTGCGTCTGTTAGGCTCTTTATCCTATGCAACAGCCTACGTCTGAGAATTTTGCTGTCAGCGTGATGCCTCGGCCTCCTCATTTTTTTCCGCCTCTTTCCGTCCAGCTCGCTCAGACACACACGCACTCAGCTTGGTCACACATACTGAGACTCGTACACGCGGACCGCTCCACACTGTATTCGCTCAAACTCAGACCCGCCCGCAGTCAGACTCACTCACACGCAGACTTGCTGGCACTCGGAGCCACTCACGCTCAGATCCACGTATAGTCGGATCAGTCGCGCTCAGACCAACACACTCAGACCGCTCACGCTCGAACCCAGGCCACACCCACCCACTCTCCAAGCCCCATGGCCATCGCGATGTGGCAGGCAGCGCACTTGGACACCCCGTGGGCACGTGCCCGCTCGCGTCCAGATCTGTGCTCGCTCTCAACTAGCAGCGCCCGTCCTGGGACCCCGGGCTCCCTCTCGATGCTCCTTCGCAGCCCCATGGCCATCGCGATGTGGCGGGCGAAGCCCTCGGGCCCCCCCAAAAGGGGGAGGCGGCTGGGGGTGTATATCAACATGCCCGTTCGCGTCCGGGTGTGTGCTCGCCCTCGTGAGCATGTGTCGGAGTCCGGAAGCCCTGAACCCGAACACGTTTTCATCTCTTGGGGGTGCCTCTTTTGCTTCCGCCGCCTTCCGCCGAGCTTCCTCGGCGGAAGAGCTGGCAACTCCCTCGATCCTCGAGGGCAAAAAAACGCCCTTTCAGCCTGGCGCGCCTCCTATATGGAGACCTCCGCGTCGAAAGCTTGAGCAGGTCCGCCCCCCCCCTCTCCTCCGCCAGGGCTCGACCTTCGTGGGCCCCGGAAACTTGGCGGCGCGCACAAGGGGGTGGAGGGAGGGGGGAGGGCTTCTTAGAAGGAGGCTGCTTCTTAGAAGGCGCCATTCTTACATCTGTAGGTAAGGCCCGCGCCTTCTAAGAAGCAGGGGTGTTTCTAAGAAGCCCTCCCCCCTCCCCCCACCCCCCTCTGCGCGTGGCTGAGAAACGGCAGGGCCGTTTTTTTCACCGTTCCCCAAAACATGCCCCTTGAACATGGGAAGCGGCAAAAAAAACCGACTGGAAGCGGCAACAAAAACGGCTCCAGGACTGGAGCCGGAGCCGGTCAAGCAACGGCGACGGACCCTGTGAAGAGACGGCGTCGGAACCGGCAACAAAAACGGCAGAACGGAACCGGTAAAAAGAAACGGCCCTATCGTTCCCAGGGCCCACTACTAAGCCCTCCCCCCTCTCCCCCGACAGGGCTGGACCCCTCGCCACGTCGGCGCCGCGGGCCAGGGGGCGTGCTGGCAGCGCCCTCCGCGCGAGGTGGTGGCTCGCGGCGACGGTCGATCTGGCGCGGTCGGCAGGGGCGGCGCCCCTCGGCGCCCCCCCCTGGGCTAACTTTCGGTCGGGCACGTCCTCCCGGAGGCGGATTTTGTGAGAAAGATGGAGAGTGGCCCCAGTGCGCCACAATAGCCCCAAAGAGAGCCAGCACATCGTTCGCTATACGGTTTTCTTTTTTGCTACTTTTGAGAATTTCCCCCCGTAGAGGTACATGCCCCCGACTTCACACGAACAAGTGGCACGCGTGCCCTGGCTCTTGCACATTTGAGGAGAGAGAGAGAGAGAGAGAGAGAGAGAGAGAGAGAGAGATAGAGGAGGAGGGGCATGTGGGGGGCGAGAGGGCCAGGGGATGGGGGGACAGAGCCAGGGGGACGGAACCACGAAAATAAAGGGTCCGGGGCGAGGAGGGCTGGGGCCAAGGCCACGGTCGGGGCGAGTGGGGGTCCAGGGCCAGGGCAGGGGGACTGAAGCTCGGACCAAGGGCCAGAGGTCCAGTCCGGTTCGAACCACGAAAATACACGGTCCGGGGCGAGGAGGGCTGGGGCGAGGCCAGGGTCGGGGCGAGTGGGGCCAAGGCCAGGAAACAAGCTGAGCTCAGCCAGGGCCAGAGGGCTGGAGCTCGGACCAGAGGCAAGAGGTCTGGGTTGGGGCGAGGGGGCGAGGGGGGGCGGGCCACAGCCAGGGGGACGGGGGCGATGGGAAGCGTGCCACAGCCAGGGGGGCGACGACAAACCACGAACCACGAAAATTCAAGGGCCGGGGCGAGGGGGGCTGGGTTCACGGCCAGGGCAGGAGGAGGACGGGGGCGAGGGGGCCAGGGGAAGCAGGCCAGAGCCAGGGGGACGACGACGAACCACGAGAGTACTGGGTCTGGGGCGAGGGGGGGGGCGCCAGAGCCAAGGAGGGAGGCTGGGTTCAGGGCCAGGGCATGAGGCGACCGGTTGTTACTGTGGCCCGTTGGGTGTTAGTGTGGCCCGTTGGGTGTTAGTGTGGCCCGTCGCGCCGCGGGATGGGAGTTACTGTGGCCCGCGCAGGCCGCTCAATGAAAAGTAATATGTAAAGGTATCTCATGTTAGATCTGGAGAGATTCGCAACCCTTAAGGGAATGCACTCCCGCGCAGGCAAAAGTGGCCACAGTAACTCCCATCTGGAACCACCGTGGTAGTAGTGCTGTGTTAGTGGTGTGGTGGTCGCTGTGCTGTGTTAGTGGTGTGGTGTTGGTAGTGTTATGTTAGTGGTGTGGTGTTGGTAGTGGCGGGTTGTGCTGTATGCTGTGTTAGTGGTGTGGTGTTGG